AAGCTGGCAGGTGTGAGAAAAGAATTGGATATTCTTAGGGTGCAACAGGTAAACATTTTATTACATAAGGTGTTGTTGCAATATACATCCTTATAGTTGTGTCACAAGGAAACAAGAATAACGTAAAGCATATATAATGTACTGTAAATGGCATAGAGTGTCGGTGATACAATAATGCCTTTTGTAAGTATACCACACTTATATGTTTCTGTAATAATTTACAATAGGTGTAAGTAGTGATGATGATGAGGAAGTTGAGAGCAATGATGAGGAAGATCACAAATCTGAAGATGAGACAGAGGGGCCTTCTGATGATATGTATGAAGATGCAGAAATTGAGACAGAGACAGATACAGCAGATACTGATACTGATGAAGACATTAATGTGCCTTCACATAGGTAAGAAAATGCAGGTCAACTGTTCTCTAATTTTTGCAAATCATTATTTGACAGGAAATCTGCACTCATGTGTAAATTAACAAGTCTTGTTGTAATCCGAACTTTTTTACTGCCACCATTTTAGTTTTGACAATCTGGCCCCAATACATACACACTTTTCTCCAAACTAATTTACACTAGTTCCAAGAGTTTCCTTAGTTTGCTTATTATTTGCTGTGCCAGATTGAACCATTCATTTTCATTAACAACATTTTGTGATGGGCCTCCTTGCTTTGTATTTATTATTGACCCAATGACTCATTTTAGTAATAGTTGCTTGTCCATCAGCAGTAATGTTAATTAATCAACTTTTTTAGGGTTCCTGTGAAGGAATACGGTTTACAAAGGGAGCCAAAGTTCATTGTATTCCTTACCCAATTATTGACGCTCTTTCAAATCTGCCGTGTGTGCAAAAGTGACAAGACATTGGTTGAGGTTAACTCTCATGGGACAATGGCTGAGGTTAAAACAACATGTGTCAACCCTGATTGTGGAAAACAAACAACATGGCTAAGTCAACCTTATTTTCCTGGGACAAGAATTGCAGCTGGCAATTTGTTGCTTAGTTTTGGAATCCTTGTCGCAGGAACATCAGCAACTAAAGTTTTTAGGGTGCTGAAGCACATGGGCATGACCTGTTTTTCTGTAACAACTTTCTTCAAACATCAACGTGTAAGTATTTAAAGTATGTTGCAATGTTATAAAACATAGAACATGCATGCATATTGTACTGCCAGGTTTAGTTTGTATGTTACATAATACAGTATATGTCTTATATTTTGTAGGAAATATTGTTTCCATCAATATATCTTCACTGGAAAAAGTACCAGGCTGCATTGGTGGATAAAGTAAAAGGATATGGGGAAATAGTAATCGCTGGTGATGGCCGACATGACAGTATGGGTCACAGTGCAAAGTACTGTGCATACACTGTATTCTGCTGCACTGTACCTTTTATAATCCATTTTGCGATTGTACAGGTATGTTTTTACACCTCCACTTTTAATCAACTAGGGATAACATTAGATTGTGTCTACCTTTATGACCTGTGTATTTTTATTCTCCTAGAGAAATGAAGTTGGCAGTAGTCCAGCAATGGAATATGCTGGGTTTTGTCGTTGCATGGAATATATACTTGGTTTAAGTCTTGTGGTGAAGACATTCATATCTGATAGACACTCAACAATAGCCAAGCATATGAGAGAGAAGTTGTCAAACATCACTCATTACTTTGACATTTGGCATCTTAAGAAAAGTATGATGTTTATATTGACTACAATCTGCTGTACACATTTTTTGCTATCACAAACTGTGAGAACCTAAGACAACCAAGTGAGTCACTCACTAAACCCTTTTAAAGTGATTTTTTTTGTGTTTCTTTATTTATCAGAGGTCACAAAAGTACTCACAAAAGTTGCAAAAGTGAGTGGGTGTGAAGCAGTTGCTGAATGGATAAAGCCTTGTACTAACCATTTATACTGGAGTGCAAGAACTACACATGATGGGAATGGTGAAGTTATTTGGGCTAAGTTCTCATCATTTTTAAGTCATGTGGTTAATGAGCACAAAAATCTTGAGAATCCGTTGTTCAACAAATGTGGGCATAAAGAGACAATTGAGCCACGGAAATGGTTAGATAAAGGTTTGTTGAAGTGCATGCAATACTATTTTTATCATCATAATATGGTGATATGCATGTGTGTCAATATTATGGTAGTATTTATGTACAATCTGTTTATGTTGTGACATATTCTTAGATTCAGTTGCCTATGAGAAAATGCAGTCATCTCTTACTAACAAAAGGCTGATAAAAGGAATAAAGCATGCATCTCCAATGGACCAAACAAGTTGCCTAGAAGGATTCCATTCTGTGCTGAACCAATTCTCTCCCAAGATGATAGGCTATACCTACAGAGGAATGTTTTGCAGGTAATTACTGTATGCATTCAAAAGATAGTGTAATGATGTACAGTTTAAATGCTTACTTTTTGTTCTAGCAATTTATTGATATCACCAAAATAAGAGTTTGAAACAAGATGTGACATTTACCTAAATGATGGGAAAATAAATTTCCAGGAGGCCACCCTTTGCCACATGAGTGCTAAAAGTATCACTTATAAAGCAGTGTCATTTTTTGCAGACATGCATTAGCAGTCATGCACTTTAATCAGAATCTGTCTCGGGAAGCAAGATTGAAAAATGGTGTTGAACAATACAATGTTGTTTATCCCAAGTTCATGAATGGGGAAGCAGTTGTCAGAAAAGTTCCAGTAAAGCAAAACTTTGGTAGGTTGATTGGATAATTACAAACCAAGGATTCATGTAGAAGGCACTTTAATATATATATATATATATATATTATAGATTATGTGGATAAAATATATCAAACCATGTTAGAGGCTATTGCGAATAAAAAACTGGAAGATGCAATAGATGACCTAAACGAAAAAACACCACCACCCATGAATACCATGCTAAGTAAGCAGTCAAGAGAAGAAGCAATACAAAAAAAGAAAACAAGGGATGCAATGCAACTTTCTGATGTTCCTCCAACAAACCCAGGTATTTTAGAAGTTGTTGATGCATTTACACTTAAGATCAGATAACAATATAGGTACAATGATGGTTTACCATGCATTCTAAATTTTATCCCACTCCTCTTTTTAGTTCCCACTGTTGAAGTTGGAACCCAAAGTCATGCTTTAAAACAAAGAAATGCACCAAAATGTAGGCTGTGCAAGCAGCCAATGAAAGGTCACAAAAATGTTGTTGACTGTCCAAAAAATAAAAAAGATTAACAATATTTTTATTTGCATTTGTTCATACATTTTTACACAATTTACATTTGAACCAAAGCAATATTATTCGCTTTCTTCATCTGTCTCCAGTTCTTCATAGCCAGTGAATGCACCATCCATGGGTTTATGTGTTAAACGTATAGCATTGTATGCACAAGAAGGCAATGGAATTCTTTTGTCCCTTAATCGGCCATGCACCATGCGAGTAAATTGTCGATAGGCAACAACTCTCAGAAATCTAAGGGATTACAAACCAAATTCGATCATTCCTTTTATTTGAGCCTGATGAACAGTAATGCATTGTGCAATAGCAAATGGCAGTCACAACAGGGCAACTAAGAGTAAGCCTGTCAGAATTTAACAATCTATGTAATAATACAGTTTTACTGCAATTATCATAAACCAGCTTTTTCAATTCTTCCCAGGGGCATCCAAGTTTATGCAACTACCCCAGGGTGTGTTTGGTATAACTCAATTCTTTCAGTTTCAGATGCCCCTTCACAGGCTGCATTAAGATGATAATAATATTATAAACACGACAATGATGACAAAGGCCACGTTGTGTCTGTTATTATTGAATAAACATACCTTTGTTTTGAGCCACTTTGCTTATATCTATGACCCTGACGGGTTTTGAAATTGTCAGCAGCAAGCTCCAACGACCATCTGTTTAAGCAAACAGCTGGAAAACCAGGATGATTAACTATACAAGTCAATTTCTGTTCCTCACTTGACTCCTCAGAAAAGTCATCAATAAATTTTGCGCAACCCTCGATTTCGTGGCAACAACGACACTCTTTAGCATTTTGCAGCATTTCAATGCTACAGTTACCACAACTGCACCTAACGAAAAAATATACAACTTCAGTTGAACAAAGACAAAGCAAATTTTAATACAATTTTTATACCACGTGCTACTGGAATATTGCGATAAATCACAATGACATAATACGCAAATTACCAGGAAGTTAAAGTTTTTCTTCCATTCCAGCGGAGTTCTAGTTCTGCCATTGTTTGGTTATTTTCTTCCCGCGCTCTGTTATAATTTTCTAGCCAAACATTATCCGCGATAGGTTCGTCAAAGTAGGCCTCGGGGTCTGTGTTGTCATCCATTTGGCTGTCCTCCGGAATATCAGGATCGAATTCTGCGTCGCATTTCTCGCTTTCTTTACGCTCGTCTTCCATTTCATATGGCATAATGGTAGCAGTATTGCTATTCACACTCGAAAATGAACTAGAGCTCGACATTTCAAGAACTTTTATTTAAAAATGGCCAGATATTTCCAATTTGTTTACTAGAACTGTATTATGTTTCATAGTAAAGTAAATGGACGTGTTCCTGGTTCCCAGTCCCCCATTGCGCGCTACTTTTTTTTAAAAAAATTGACTTTGCCGCCCAATATCTCCGAAATTAAAATTTTAACGCAAAAACTAATCTAGAAGTTACTAACCAACTTTTTATGCTCTATCTGAATCACCAAAAACCCATTTTGGGTTTATAAGCACTTTAAGAGAAGCCAACAAAGAATTGTTTGATATCACCAGAAGAGATGAGCCATCTGTGTTGAGAGATAGAAGCTTCGAAGGGTTGTCCAAGGAGACTTGGATGGTTGAAATTGTAAATGAACTCTCAACTAGATGTCCCACTGTTGCTGAAATCCTATCAAGCTTGCTAAATTGCTCCATGTTGAACCTTGGAAAAAAGCTATCCCTTATTTGCTTGGTTTATGGTATTATCATGTTTATGAGATGTCATGAACTGAGCAGAGTACAAAGGATTAATACTGTTCTCCTGACTGAAGGAAAAGCATCAAGTAATGTAAGTAATAGATTATTTGGTATCAAGTATTTATTGTAAGGATCTTTCATGATTTGAGGAAAAAATGACTGTCAATAGATGTCTGTCAATACATAGATGGGACTTTCTTATTGCGACCTCACCTACATGCCAGACATAATTAATAATTTGCTTAAAAACTTTGATGCAATTTGTCAAGTAACACATAATGATAATTAACAAACAGTATTTACTTCAAGTCATGAATAAGGAACTTCCATACTATGGAGCAAGGGATAGAAAGGGCAGATTGGGGCCAGAATTTAATGCAGCAAAATATGTTTTTATAGAAAACATAATTCATATTGAAATACTTGTTTGACTTTTTTTCAAGTTCTGTCAGTATACTATGTAAATCTGATTGCAAGTATGATTAAACGTTTTTACTGGTAGCTAAGCTGGTCAATTGAAAATTAATACTCTAGACACAGCTGCATTAAAAATTGTCCTTCCTACAATTTTTTTTGTGTATGGTCTTATGTTTTGACTTACTTTGACCTTTGAGCTAGGTAAAAGATACCATTATTTAGCTCAATCAGCTGTATACTTCTACTAGAACTTACACAATAACTAATTAAAACAACACTAATTTTTTTTTATAGTTGTTTGAGCAACTTAACAAGTATGGTTTCTGTCTAAGCATTTCTAAAAAGTATGTAGTCCTCGATGACATTGGGAAGCACTTTTTGGATCATGCTGTAGAATTGCTAAAGTCTGGAAGGAAGTTTGTCTTTGTTGTTGACAACATAGATTGGGAGGAGAAGGTGCATGATATGCGAGAGGTTCATCAAAATAAGAGTGTGCATGCAGTTGCAACCAGCATGGTGTTCACCAGAGTTTCAAGCGACCACCTTCCTGATGACGGCCCTCAGAAAGATATAAGGACTTGCGACTTTCGTGAACTTGTTAGAATAAAGGAGGAAGAATTGAGGACGATTCAAAATCGATACAGGATACTAATAGCAAGAACCCTAATCACAAAGTTTCAAGAGTTTTCAAGCCTTAAATCTTGTCTGTCTGAGGAACTTCTCCTTCATCATGAGAATTCTGCAACAGCATCACGGAAATCAGAAATTGTCACAATGCCAGTATTAATGAAGGATGAAAAAAAATACAGTGATTGTGTCGATGTGTTAGATCAGTTGGAAGAATGGACCCAAGAAATATACAAGGCAAGTGGTATGTGCAAAGATCCGCCTGACCAGCCTTCTGTTTCCCCACCCTTGGTGGAAGTTCCAACTCGGCCAGATCAACCTAGATCCCACATCCCACCAGCATCATCAAACTTTGACCCACTTCAAGAAGTAAAGATTCCTTGTTTTGGTGATGAATTGACAAGAGTCAGGTTCGCTGGTGCACGTGATCTACGTTCCGGTTGTCATACTGCAAAGCAGCGTCTTGACCATCTGTATCCATATCGTATTGTAGGATGGCATACGAAGAGGAGTTTTTTAAAGGTAAGCTTAATTTAGCTAATTTTTCATCTGTTAGGATATCCTGATGTCAACAATTAATATTTTGTGGGTTGTTTCATTGTGTTTTAAACTACTGTATCAATTTTCTCAATGTGAGTTGACTTTCCAACTAGGTACAAGGCTGTATGATTTGTTATGGGACTGTGGATCAATAACAACATAGCATATCACTCAGTGTTGTATATTTCTGTAAAGTTAACCACTAAGTTGCAATTTTTTATAGTCAGTCTTTAAACGGCTCTACAAAAATTCTGGAAGAGAAAATGGTACGTTGCGATACTTCCGAGAAGTGCTCAATCGAAGAAATGTGACAGTTGATGTCAAGCATTATGAAGACTGTGAACAACTCTTCATGAGTGTTGGTCACTTTATTTGGTAGAAGCTTTGCTCGAGTTCTTCAAAATGGAAGATGTCAACACGTCTCCTGAAGAAAATAATCATTTTCTCATTGATGATTTAAATAATGAAGAAAAGAAGACCCAAGTACTAGAAGTATTGGACAAGTTTGTCGCACAGTACAATCCAACATGGATGAAAACAGCATGGAATCCTCAGATGATGACAGCACTGATGGTGTCTTCAACTATGCTATCAACATATTGAAGTCTTTCATGAAAATGCTGTGGCATCTGGAAATGGGAGCATTTAGCACTAATCCAGAAACAGATGTTGTATTACTTTTCATCTATTTCTGGATTCAATGCATATGCTATCGAGATGCTTATTGCTATAGTGCAGAATGAAGTCCTTCTTTCACACAGAGAGGCACATAAAACAGCATTGCTAATTGGAATGGAGGAAATGACAAAAACATTGAGATTGACCTACTGCAAGAAAACCGAAATGCTGATCTTAAAGGTTTTATTCGTCTGATGGGTGCTAATAAGACAGAAAAGGCAATTGGAAGAATGAGCAAGGCAGTTGGGGAGTTTCGCAAGGTTGTGATGCGTTTAATGAACAGGCAGCAATCAAACGCAAGTCATCAGCCCATTCCCATAGGTCTCTTCACAAGATGAGGATAAAGTTTCCCAGATCTACACAAATTAAAGCCCTTTCCCCAGTTATTGGCCGATCCCAACAAACATTTGCGGGGATTCTTCTGACCTTTAGAAGATTTAAATGAAAACGTGTTCTCTGAAATGGCTCAAACGACACCAGAAGAATATTTCATTGCATTTCCAGCAGTTGATAATACACCTAGAGGACAGTGATGAACAAAAGTAACTAGAAACTTAGTGTGCTCCTTAGTATTAAATTTTCAACAGAGCACTAACACTTGAACAGCACAAAACTGCTATTGCACTAATGTCACAATCTGGCATTGTTGATCATTTAATGACTGCTTACTGCAAATAGATCTTACATTTTAGGCTTATTGCATTTTCCCAATGGTTGTTTCATGTTTGACTGTTTAGAGTGTCAGGCACACTAAAATCTAATGTTGCACCATATATATAATATTAGCATGTTTTATTCTCTTGCCATTGGGGTGTTGGGTTGTTATATGCATATTGTGAACTGAGTTCAACCGGGGACAAAAACTGTTTAATGTTATTGAAAAAGCAAATAACTATGAATGGTGAAATTCAGTCTATAACATTACTCCAGTATAGTGTACGTATTTACAATATAAATTATTGAAACCCATAAACAGACAAATCTCGTCTTGTTTTGACCCAAATGTTGTGTTTAAAGATGCTAATATTTTGATGTTTCATATATATGAATTACTTTAAAAAAGTTAAACTAATGTGAAGCAATGTAGTTCATCAATAAAGACTTTCTAGTCTGCCTTCCACCCAAAGTAAGTATCCCAATTTTAGTTTTACTACATTATTTGCCTCAAGGCGCATGGTATTCTTTCTTGAATATACAGCATACAAAATTAGATTACTAAAATCATTATCCAAGTCATGTTCCAAAGTTCTGCAGTGTGGTAAGTGCCACAAATGTGGAAAGTTAAATGCAACTTGTACCATCGCATTTTGATTGACAAACACTACAGCAAAGATATTTGGGATAAACTGGCTTTATATACTTTTGGTCAGTATCTAGTGAACTGAGCAATATATTCTAAGACACTGCGACTCACTATGGCAAAAAGTCCTAATTTCTTCTTGCATTCCTGTTTTGTTTTTGGCAATGTCACGATTGTTGTAGTGGAGAATCGCAGTTGCAGGTAGTCCATCTCTTCCAGCCCTGCCAGTTTCTTGGAAGTAAGCCTGGATAGTATATGGTGGGGTGACATGAACAACACACCTAATGCCCTTAATATCAACCCCCATTCCCAGAGCCACTGTAGCAAATACCACCCTTATGGTACTTTCTGAAGAGCACAGCTGCTTTAACACTTCATCTTTCATTTCCTGTGTTTGAGGTGAATGGAACTGAGCAAACAGCCTGTTCTCAGGTATTGATGCTGATCCTGTTGGGAAGTACTGGCTGTTTCCCAAAACTGATTCAAATATCTTATACGCAAATCCGCACCATTTCAAAGGAAGGTATATAATTGTTAAGGGATAATTTGTCAGTTTCTTTAACAAATCTTCAGCAATGGGAGTAAGGATTTTTACTAGGGAGTCCACATCTGGTCCACCTCGAAAATGTTTTTCATATTTTATATTTCTTCGGTCAGGATTGCCAACTACTTCTGCACACAATTTCAAACCCAATGAATTTTTGATTAATTCTCTATCAGTTTTATTTGCTGTGGCAGTCATGGCTACAACTGGAGCACTTGAAAATGTTGCACACAAAACAGCCAAATTGCCATAGTCCACTCTGAAATCCTTACCCCTGAAATGACACAATATAATTCTATTAAACTTTGCTACTGCACCAGTAGCAGTCTGTAGCACAATACCATTGGTTCTGAATATTATAAAATATTAAAAAAAGTGAATATCGTTAAACTTACCACTCCAAGATGCAATGGGCTTCGTCTACAACAATCGCACAGACATTTTCCTGGTAAGGTTCACTCTGCATTAACTTCCTTCCATAAGCACATGACACAAACGTTTCAGGGTGTGCGAACACAATGTTATAGTGTCCAATTTCAAGCTTGGCTTTGTCGCTCAGACGTAAGTCGCAGGCAAGTATTTCTTTGTCCTCTTCCTCAACTTCTATTGACGATCTTACGTCGACAACAGTTGCCCGAATTCCGCTAGAGGCCAACCGCAAGATCTGGTTAGCAATCAGCGCATTTAATGGTGATACAACCACAATAATTGATGTTATGTTTATTTCGCTTTTCGAAACACCATGCTTCTTCGCATAAAGCAAGGCAGGAAGCAAGTAAAAAATCAAAGATTTACCATATCCTGTAGGTAGAACCACCAGAATATCCAAATTCAAAATGCCTTTTCTAGGCAAATCACCTGTTTTGGTTTTAAAATAACGTCACAATATAAGCTATTTAATATTGCGAACTCCAAGCACGAAAGAAATTGCCCACACTTCGAATTTTTCAACATGCCGGCAACAAAGTAGCCTGCGACCAGGCTGAAAAATTTACCTTCCCCCCCAAAGGGGAAAAATTTACATGCCACCACGTGACCAGCCGATACCAGGGTCTTCGCCGCAGCGTGGGCCGTGGAGCGTAGGTAAAAAGACCCTGGGTACGAGGTTGCTTAGTCGTGTGTTCAATTGCACGCCATGGTGTGTAAATTGAGCACACCTTACTAAGCAGATTTTGAATACACACCTTCGTGTGTACGAAAACACACCTTCGCGTGTTAGCGAACACACTAACCTTTTGCACACCTTTCCTTTTGCGCATTAAGGTGTGTAAAGAAGCACACTTTTTTAGTATAAACACACCTTGGTGAGTTCGACTGCACACCTTAACCCATCCAAGGAACACACCTTAGGTGTGTTAAACAAAACACACTTATTAACTGGATAAACTTAAAGTTGTTAACTGGATATAAACAGTATATTTGACAGCCTTTTTTATTGCTAATATCTTCATTGATAATAGTATCAATGAATGCAAAATTATAGAATACTAAATAGTGCCTAATAACATAGCCTAATTTTGTATTTTTAAAGAAAGTATCTTCAAGAGCACCTGATTCCTTTTCAACAAGAAAAAGCAACATTTCTTCGAAATTATGTTCAATGCACAATGCCAATGTAGAAGGCAAGACCTTGTAGCTCATTAGGTGGGAAATAAATTCGATAATTTCAAGGAGAATTAAGACAAAAATATTTATGATTTTGCCATATCAAAATTTCTTCCAACTTTCCATAAGATGGGTAATCCCTTTCGCCATATTCATCCATGTCAGCGATGCTCAGTACACAGCGCTAGCCAATCCGATACTGTATGCAATGTACTTCAACATGTCTAACACTAAAAAAATTATCCTAAGGTAATCCTATAATATTCTTTAATGCATATTTTTAGGTGATGTTTGTTGGTGGTAAGAATAATTTTGCCTCATGCAGATGAGCAGGCCCTTATCAGTACCCAAAAATAAGGACAAGAGTGATCAGCAAGAAAACACACCAACAAAACAATCAGAAGTTATTATCAACACCCCGGAAAGTTTGAAACGAAAGTATAGAAACTCCCCATCGCCTAATTCTTTACCTTTTCCTGCAACTTTTCTGTGGCTGGTCAGCACGCGGTACAGAATGGATCAATTATACCTGTACGTCGGCAACTTGTGAATGATATTGGTTTATTTTATTTGGGTATTACAAGCACTCCTCGGCAACGAGACTACAAACGAATGGCACTTCTCCTTTCTCAGAAGTTCCCTGAAATAAGAGATACAACGGTCAGCACGCGGTACAGAATGGATCAATTATACCTGTACGTCGGCAACTTGTGAATGATATTGGTTTATTTTATTTGGGTATTACAAGCACTCCTCAGCAACGAGACTACAAACGAATGGCACTTCTCCTTTCTCAGAAGTTCCCTGAAATAAGAGATACAACTCCCTCAAATTATTGGGTAAGTCATGTCATACAATCATACATCATATCGTTCCCTGATTTCATGGATTATACACTAGAAATACATGCATGCAGCAACCCCTCGCTATTTCAAACCAAGTACACAATTGCCTGAGTTAACCTGACCTAAACTTATATTATGAAATGACGCAAAACTCAAATCAGTCTTATTATATATAGCTAATGTTTCCATCATTCAATACAAAATAATCATAAAGCCAGTGTAAACATTGCCCGTTCAATTTTGCTGCATTATACCATGTCAGCAATTAAGTAACGGTTTAAAACCGAAGCTTCAAACGATTAAAACAGTACAAAATCTTCACAGACAAAGAAAAAACTTCAAATGTCATTTTATTCTGAAATAGCAGTCGACGCCGGCGGCTAAAAGTTTTATACTTTATAAATATAGTGTGTATTTTTGATACCAAAATTCAAATCACACTTTAAAAAACACTTTTTGAAGTTAAAACAAAGGTGTAATAGCCTTTCACAGGTTTATGCGTTTGCATAAAAAGCTGAAAATTTAACAAATAAACGGCATACAAAGCTGAAAAGTATACAAATACGGCTCATTCTTATCGCGAAACAAATACGAAATAATCAAAGTAAACACGTACCCTTTGTCTTTGAAAACATTTATAAGTTTGCAGATTATGAATTATTCCTCTTACACGGCTTTGTCTTGACCGTATCTACGTTCATGTTTGCTAACTGTCATGCTTCATATATCTTGTTTCTTTCTACTTGCACAAAGTTTATGAAACACTTTTACAAAAATGTTTACGAAATGACAGTTCTCAGTTAATATAAATTGCTGACGTTCTCATTGAAATACAAACTTTCTGTCTTAGCCAATCAGAACGTTCGTTGATTACCAGACGTTACTCGCGCATGCGCATGACTTACAAAACCAGCCAACGTCGACCGTCCATGACAAAGAATTTGGACAACTTTGGATTCGCCTATGTTCTACCGGGTTCAGGGTGTAATTCCTAATCTCCGAGCGGAATTAGTACCCTCGCAGGCGCTCCGCGCCCGCTCGGTGATTAATTTTACAGGTTTCTTGCTTTTTACAAACATGAGAAAACTGTTTATAGTTACCAGATCAGATTACGACTATAAAAAACAGTTATATACCAGCTAGTAGATTACGACTATACCCGTCAAGTAGCTATAGAAATGCATTCTTTTGATTCCTTTTACTTGAGTATTCCATGTTGTCCAATAACATTCTAGATATTTTATGTACTCTGTTACTGTTCACTGTTTTTATTGTGTGATGTTACCCACAAAATACTGAAGCAGTAATATACCATTGACAATAGCTTTTTTAACAATTAATGCTCTTTTTTTAACAGGCTAAACTGTTCTACATGTTCTGATAAATAATTTTGTTTTTACAGCTATCTCTGCAAAAGCAGCTTACCCAATTTTTTAGGAATGCTATAAGAAAAAGTGTACAAAAAAGTGTTTCTTGTGGAAATTCCAATACCAGCCATACTAATTCAGCCAAAAGGTTCAAGTTACTAAACGATGACCCAGATGCTCAGAAGAGGAATCGAAAAGCTTTTAAAGTACAGCAAACCGGGTTTCATATCAAGCGCAACCCACAAAAGCTTTGTGGAAAACACATTTATGGCTCGGCGAGATTTTATTAGAGAAACAGCCGATTATCTTACGAAGTGTTAGCTATGTTCCCATATCTTGGGAAACAAGAACATGTGAGTGATATTATTGCATGTGACTTTTAATTTTAGAACCAATTTTTAGAAATAAGGACCTCTAGGAATTAGAAAATTATGTCCAGTTATGATATTCAGTTATGTACCTGTAGTTATTCAGATATTCAGTTATGTACAGGTATATTCAGTTATTAGATATTCAGTTATGTACAGGTATATTCAGTTATGTACCTGTAGTTCAAGTAAGTGGAAGCACCGCAAGATGGCGGATGCAAAATTTTGAGCTCCTCAAATTTTTTGAAATTTTTCACTATTTTACCAAGATATTTTTAATTTAATTGCTAAAATTTTTAATACTTGGTTTCTTGAGTTCGTTTTGCCATAATTTCCGAAAAGAACTGTCTTAGACCACACACACAATCGCCATGGCCGACGATCGTTTACAGGACAGCCTTGAGCAGTCTAAGTCAAGTCACAATCGAGCCGATATGAATTGGGATTTTCTTAAAATGCACGAGTATGTGGTGTCCAGAAGCATAGCATATGATGGTTCGCGTCTTAAATGGTGTGAGAACTATGAATCTCTTCAAGATTTCATTAAAGTGTCATTTGGATACGAGGGTAAATGGCGTTCAGCTGGGGGTAGTTCGAAGAGATTTGAGGCCAAGGATTCTGACTTTGTCGCTACGTGGTATCCTGGGAAGTTAAATACTCTATCATTTAATGGTATGATTGGAAAGGAAGCTAAAGAATGCCTGATCACCCTGTTTACACCCCCCCCTGGAAACCCCTGTCAGAATACCTTGAAAGAAAATCCCAGTCAAACTGTTTTGGAAGAATCTATTGAAAATTTGTTGTTCGAGATAGAAATATTGAAAACTAGGATGGATTCAGTGCAATCGACAATTACTAGTGAGGACCAGCATACGCCAATAGTGGCAAATTTAACAAGTGAAATTACTCGGCTTCAGATCGACCTGGAAGAAGAAAAGTTTAAACGGTCTGTCCTTGAAACACAAGTTCAAAGACTCCAAGATGAGCTTAATACAATGAAATCATATCAAAAAGATGATGAGCTGAGTCAACGCAGCTCAGATGCAAGTGTGGTCGAAGTTGCAGCAGTCTATGCGGATCCTCAAGAGGACAGCATCACGCTGTCGCCAATGATGGAACCTACTACAACCACCAAACAAAACCAACCAACTGGCTTTAAAGACCAAATAGAGGAATATAGACGAAAACAAAAACATAAAAGAAGTCTTGGCGGTCATTTTTCATCCGAGTTATCAGCTACTCGATATGATGGCCAAGTGGATCCCAAAAAGCTAAGAAAAATGCATTCACGGCAAAAAGCACCCATAGTAAAGCCAGTATCCCATGATAGAAACCAAAGTGTTTCCCTTGTTAAGAATTCTGCAGTCACACAGCAGGTTAATAGTGACACTCAGAAAAATCACCATACTCCTAGAAATAAAGATTCAGGCATACAACAGATTAATAGTAATACTCAGAAAAATCACCATACTATTAGAAATAAAGATCGCAAGAAATCCACCCCCTGCCCTTTTTTGGCCCGGCGTGGTCGGTGTGCTAAAGGAAATCGGTGCGACTTCTACCATTCCAATTCGCAGTACTGTGACAAATCCCGAGTATTTTGCCCCTTTTTGCAGAGGAAAGGTTATTGTCTG